AGGCGGCTGCAGCAAGCAGACCTTCGCATCAACACAGCAGACACCAAAAAGGAGTGAGGGCCCAGCTCTCTACCGCCCGGCCCCGGCACTGGCTAGCTTTCCTGGCACCTGGAACTGTGCACCTGGCACCAAGCGGAAAATAAACTCCATGCAGCCAGTAAAAAAAAAAAAAAAAATCAGAACTTTGCGTAGTGTCTTTTTCATATTCATTTACTACATATTTGAGGTTTTTGGGGTTTTTTTTTTGCTGAAAATTATAAAATGCATCATCGAAATTCAGATTTCAGTTTGGCATTAAAATAAAACACTGCAAAAGAGGAGTTTAAAATATCACCATTGCTAATCATTGAAATAGTTGATCTCTCCAAGATTTCTGGGGTAAGGCCAAGTTTTCCTTGATTTTCTCTTTACTCCATACTTGCTCTACCCTCTTCCTGAGGTGCTCAATAAGCTTCAACCTACCCAAGCCTGACCTCATCCTATGCCCTAGAATTTATCTTGTATCTTTCTCTACTTATAAACTTACCTCCCTTGGGTCATTGTAATGGGTACATATTGAGCTATCTTTCTAGCCTACACATTGATATCTTGTCTTTTCCATAGATGCTACTCCACATTCAAGAGTAAGCCACCATTAGGATAGGCATCTAATAGATGATACTGCCCCATTGATAATAGCTTATTGGCACAAAGGTGTTCATCTGTTCCAAGTTGAGCATGATGGTTTTTATTCTTAGAGAATTGGAACTGAAATGAAGTTCTGATGGCATGCATCCGTATGTTTAAAGTCAGAACTTTGGGGTGCCAATGTTTTATCTGTGGAGCAAAGAGCCAAGAAGAGTCTATAATGAAAAGACTGAAGCCAACACTCTGGGAAGAGGAAAGATGAAAACTGCAGTGAATAGGCATCTAATTCCCAGTTTCAGCACTTTTCTGAGGTTTGTGTCTATTCATGACTTTGGGAAGTGAGACATATCCCTCCCCTTTCCAACAAAATTACCATTTTGCTAGTGATAGAAGAGTCAAGGAGATATTTTGAGAAAGCCAGACGTCTTGTAATCTTAAAACATTTTACTATGACTATAGCTATGTCTGGCCTGGTACTATCAAAATGCAAATTTGAATTTTACCACTAAGGCCAACAGACATTGATACGGCATCAAAATAACAATTCTTAACACCAAAGTATTTAAGATTAACAGAAGAAACACCCACAGGTGGCTAGTTGTCAAGATAAGCCTCCTCAGCTAGAAACAATTTGTTTAAAACTTCAAGCAACAGTTTATTCAAATTACAGATGAAAACTCTGCAAAAACCTTGCACTATGAAAGCACTCTTCACCTTTCAGGTCATGCAAGCATTTTTATTTCATCCTTAAGCACAATGGGTATTGCCAGATTTTGCAAATCAAACTAAAAGACACCAGTTAAATTTGAATTTCAGATTACAAACACTGACTTTTAGTATAATATTTTAGACATACTTATGCTAAAAAGTTACTTGTTCTTTGTCTGAAATTCATGTTTAACTGGGCATCCTCTATTTAATCTGCCAACCCAAAGCATAGTGAATAATATGCAATCACAGGTGTGGGAGGGATTTTTTTCCACCAGACTGTATTTTAGGTGGTAAGAGTTGTCATTAGGCAGTTAAATCAGTCAAGATGCAAAATGCCAATTTCTACCAAAATGTTCTTTCAATGAATTGTATAGCTGTGTTCAATGTAGATGTGTGACTGTTGGTTTTTGAGGCTCCTTCTTAATTCCTTCTTGTAGGGAGAGCTGGGGAAATGAAAGGACACTTTATATATGTTAAATTTTAGTAAAACTTTCTTTTTTATTTCTGGAATTAACAGCAATACAGAATCCATTATTCTAGAAGTAGATTAATTTTCTTGAGAACAGAATCAGATGGTAAAAAAGGGAGATGACAATAAAAAACAAAGGCAAGATAAGATAATTTAGAAAAAATAAGAAGAATATTTAGATATTTTTAAAGCTTTCTGCTTGCTTTGGCTATTTTTAAAACCAAATTGCATTAACTTCAAAGCAAATCTAATCATTTGGGCAAAATTGATAATAGAAGCAGAAAAAAATATAATTTAATGAGTAAAATCGGTCACAAAATTGATACTGCTTCGGATTCAAAAAATCTTAGTTGTACTGAGATTTATATCACAGTACAAAAAGATGGAGCTTGTCTTTTATCCTCTGAAAATTCTATTCTCTCCTTCTTTCTTCTTTCTCCTTTTCCCTCTCCTTCTTCTGCCTTCCACAAATGAAAATAGCATACAAGCATAAAGTGTGAAAAATACTACATTTGGGGAGGTATGGCTCAAAAACAGCAGCCATGGGACAGGTTGTAGGGAGTGGTAGTAAGGAGTGGGGAATGTCATTTCTAAAAGCTCCCCTTAGTAAGAGCCAGTGCTGCAGCAGGTCATTAGTATGCCGAGTTATGTTTTGGGGAATGTAATGTGTCTGCCTGAATCCATGTAATAATGAACTGTGATACTAAGAAGTATTAATTAAATCAAGATAAATAAGATCATTGTACTTTGAACTTAAAAATGATGTATATTCAACAATATCTTACAAATTTGAACATAGCATAATATACACCTCAAATACCTTTCTAGTAAAAATGAGCCATTACATTCTCAGAAATAATTGGGACCCTTTTCCAAACTGAGGCTGAGGCTCCATAAACGAAACTTCCAGCAATATGACTTGCTTTCACTCAGTGCCTATCAAAATTCTTCTTGTGGTAGCTCTTGGAAAGATTATCTTTTTTTATGATTAGAACAGGGAATATAGGTGTCTTGCTGACTAAATTGCTCTTTCTGATGTCTGATGTACCCACCCACTATGTCAGACTCTCCAGTACTAATATGTAGGTCCCTTTAAACCAGTAGGTTACACATCAAACTTCAGGTTTGAAGCTCTGGAAGATTCTCTAGGATCACAGGTTAAAATCTCACCAGGTCCAATGCAACCTTTCATTCTTCCAGAAGGGATAAATCAACCGGCACGTACTTCACTGTGTTAGGGTGTTTCAGATGAGAACTTATAAACTTAGACTCCTTTGCTTTGTAATGACATTAAAGATCTCATGGGGTGTTTGTTCTAAGGTTTAGAGACCGTCCTAAAACCTTGAGTAATTTTTGCTTATACTTGAAGTCTGCACTATGAAATGCTTGAACATTCTTATATGTTATTAAGGCTTTATGTAACTTATTAAACTATGAAAATTAAATTCACCTTTAGAAAGTACTTGCAGAACTCACATTATTTGGAACTCAAGATTACAAAGTACATGATATGATTTGAACACCTGTAGTCCCATTTTCATCTTTTGTGTATCACATACACTTTTATGCACCTTCAGCTTAATAGTATGACAACTGGGCCAGTGTCTGTGTTTTTAATCAGCCACAATCTACTGGTGCTAGACCCAACTCTAGAGTCATAACATGTAACACATTTAGACCTCCAGTGACTTTTATGTCCAAGGCCCCAAAGACTTTTCGAAGACTTTACTAAAGTAACTCTCATTGCCCTGTGTCTGATCGAGTCTGCCTGGATTACCCCCTGCCTGGCACTATATTATACACATTCACCTTATGATTTCAATTCCTCTTTTCATGCTTTTTTTCTTTTTTTTTTTTTTTTTTACTTTATTGCTTTTAAACTGCCATTTCCCCCATTGTTTATGATTAGTCGATCTATCTTTCTGGCAAACAAATAAACAAGGAGAAAAGTGACAAGGCAGCTGGTGAGTGTGTCAATATGGATCATGGGGACAGATTCTCCTCCTCAGCATTCAGATGCTGCCCATTGATAATTTGAGCTTAGAGTTCATTTTAGAAATCCAAGAGCTATCTATAATACTTTGTGTCATACATTTTTGCTTCACTTTTTCTCATTTGATTGAAAGCCACTTAGAGGCTTCATTTCCATTTCATTGTGAAGCAGGATCCCATAGGATCATTCTATCAGAAAAATTTCCACACCATGTTCACAGTTTCCCATAGGGAGGGTGTCCTGTTGGAAGTGTCCAAAAAATGGGGGAAGGTATAGAATACATAACACATTTACTTTTATAATTCATGTGAGATTACTTGAGGAAACTTATATGTAAAAACCAACCTTACTCAATTCCTAAAATATCTGAATATTTCCTCCTGGAAAGTCTTTTACAAACCCCAAATGGAGATATTCCTTCCATTCTATTCATGTTCTTTAATACACTTAGGGCCCTATGGAAACACCTCCTCTTTTCTTTTCACATATCATCATAATTAATTCCATAAGCTTCTTCCAGCTTGCAAATTTAATTTTTATTTTCGTAGAAGTTAATAGCTTTATAATAGAACAAATGCAGGGAGTAGTTCCTCTGAATGGAGATGCCACAGTTTTATGTACCCAAATGAATCTCCCCTTTCTGTGTTTAATATGACCTATGTTCTCTGCCAGAAACTTTAATATCATTTCATTCATCACTCAGCTTGCTCAGTCTCCTTTATCTATCTTGTTCATTTTTTCCCCAAATCACTTGCTGATAGACCAAAATTATAACTGTAGTATTTCCCTGTTTTAGGTTTTACATTTTTCCTTGAAAACAGCATAATTAAGATGGATAAATCCTTGTCATCCCATTTGAATGTTCTAAGTAAAAATGGTACAATGTAACATTTTAGAATTCCATAGCCTGAATCAACATCAAACAGATGTATGTGTACACACACATGCATGCACACAAACACATTCTCTATGAGACAAAGGTCTTTTGTGTCTTATTCACTGCTTTATTT